AATTTCTCTAACACGGCTAACCCGGGATGAAATGCTGGCCAGGCGTCTTTTCATAAGCTGTTTGAGGTCTCGGCAAGCAGACCATTTACCCAGGCACGTGGGCATTCACCTTTGCTGAGCCAGGCTGGGACTCCAACGTGCCTCCTCATAGAGAGGACTCCCACCAGCATTGCCGGTGGGATAGACAACTGGGTGCATTATTTTCCAGATTTGCCTGGACCAGGGCCAAGGTTCTACATGTAGATATCTTAATATGCTCTCCTTGTATCTGCCCTCTGCTACCTACAATCCCACCATTTTAATACATCTCTATTGTAGACTTTCCATTTCGGACAGAATTAACAGTGATACCGCATATAAACACATTCGCTGCCAGGCAAACCCTAGGGTAGGCGCCTTGAAAGGCTCTGGGAAGTCTCGTGACCAGCAATAATATTTACATTGCAACCCAGCAATCTTGGTTCACACGGTGGGGGCAAGGGAGGCCAAGAAAGAAATTCCCTTCCCCATATCCAGTTTTCCTCAAGTCTCAAGATAGCTAGCAAGGATTCTGAGCTCAGCAGATCCTGCAGGAATGTCTCCCAGGCACAGGGTTAAGATTAACCCTGTAAAACGCCCCTTTATGCCAAGACATCTGTTCGGGTGCATTTTTTTTCCAAATAGGAATTTTTGCTTCTAGAATAAACTAGTTTTTCTGCAATCATGCTTGCCTGTCTTTCCCCAAACTCAGCTGAAGGCTTTGGGACGTTTGTGCCAGCCTCTGATGCACTAGCACTCTGAAAAAGAACTTAATAACATGATAACGGAAGAACATTACAGAATATACTCTAGCAAGGGATATGAAACCAGTGTTTTAGGGATTGGACGGTGGCTTAAAGGCTAAGAGTACTGACTGCCCCTGCGAGAACCCAGATTCTATTCCCAGCACCCACAGGGCAGCTCACAACCATCTGTAAACTGCAGTCCGGGAGGAGGCAGTGCTCTCTACTGCCCTCTGCAGGCACTAGACGTGGAAGTGGCGCACACATACATGCAAGCAAGACATCCATACATAAAATTCCTTTAAAAGTCAGTATTTAGAAGTTAAATGTCACGTGGTAGTTCAAATTAGAGCACTCCGCTAAGAGATAAAGTCAGTATGTCACTCTGACATTTTTAATATAGTAAATAAAATAAAATGAACCTCCAGAGTTTATCTCCAGTGGGCGGCCCACCCCTTACTATTTCCTGAACATGAGTATTAGCATGGTACAGAAGAGTGCCGGGACAAGCCTACAGCAGGAGGGAGACCGGTGCATTCTAGGCTCTGTGTACAGACCCGAGTGCACACGCGGTATTTCACTTTTCAGCACTTCCTAGTTCAAACTTGAGTCTGTGAGGAAAATCTTTGAGACTCGTGCTTTGTTAAGATCTGTTGTAGGTGTTGTTGGTGGTGTTATTTTTATACACACACACACACACACACACACATACAGTTTCCCCTAAGCCTAATTTTTTTAAAAGAGCTATCATTTCGAGGGACATGGGACCAGCCTAAGGCAGACTGAAAGGAATAAGAATTTGGTGTTTTATAAAATGTTATCACGTTCCCTCTTGTGAACCCTTGTGGCTATCTGGGGAAGAATTAAACTGACAAGAAATATTTGTTTGCAAAGACCACTTTTCAAAACAAGTAGGCCAGAATATTCTAGAAACCCATTTTGCTGGCATTTTACTTAGCACACAGTACACGTGCTTTATAATTGGACTTCCTTGTAACCTTTCTATTGAGAAAAACATTTTTTAAAAGCTTTGTTAAAAAAAAAAAGAAAGAAACTCAGCAGCATGCAAGATCCTGTCGTTAAGCCAATCACGGCTGCCTGTGTTTTCCAATTATTTTATTGTTTTCAGAAAGATGATTATCCTGGATTGTACAACCAACCTTGAAAGAGAGAGATGAAGGGTTTCTCAGTCTTGCACAAGGGTGTCACGTTTCCATGGTGACGAAACCAGCTCTTGATACCAGATTAACCACGATGATCCTGGGTTTCCCGCTTTGCTTCCTCATTCCACATACCAGAGAGCCCACAGAATGGAGAGGGAGAGCCAGAGGTCAGCGGTACCCCGGAGAGCTCGACAGAGAACTGCCGAGAGGCTCAGGGGCTGCTGTCAGTCTGCCAAGCTTGCCTGGGGCTGTTTTACATGTTCGGTAGTCTACTGTAGACAATACCTTTAATAAAAGCACAAAAGCGGCTTTCCTCACCCAGTCCCCATGCCATCTAGACAAACCCTAAATCTTGCTGCTAGCTTCTGCGCTCTCCAGAAACTCCATGCACCCTCTGTCTTTGCATTTCTCAAAACCGTATGACCCAGTTGTCTGGCTTACCAACACCAGAACCTACCTTCTGAACGCTACCCGGGCTAGGCCTGCAATCGACCCTTCATCTCCTGACTTCCGCCCTCTACACCCTCGATGAATATGCTATTATACCGGTTACAACAGCACCCAACCTTGTGTGTCAGAATTGTCCTATGGAATGCTGGACTCTGTCCTGGATGTATGGAGCCAGAATGTTTACGAATAAATCTGTAAAAGCTGCTGGGTATGAGGGTCAATGAAGTATGACTGTGTGTTCATTTTTTTTCTTGTCCCCTACAGGTATCTGCATCCATCTAAGAGTATAGGGTGTGTTTGGGGGAGATGATTGAATATATACTACACATCTGTTAGGGTTCATTGAAGTGCAGAGTGCTAAGCCCCAGCCTAGCTGAGTCTTCCAGATCTGATTCTGAAGGATATGGCCTGGAAATTGATGAAGTTCCCTCCCACACCTAGATAAGCCATTACTCATACTGGAGAATCGCTGATCTGTTCGGAGTCAAACTGAATCCTCGATGACCCGGCATCAGGCAGACTGAGTGGGAGAAGGCCCAAAGGGAAGTGGAGCCCTTTCAAAGGGGAAGCCCCTCCTCCAAGGGAGCTTGTTACTCTTTTGCATACTAGACAAAGACCAGGCATTGTCAAAGCGTTACAACTTAGAAGCTAGAAATAAGGAGAAATTGAGTTTCCCATGACTCAAACAACCAGCAAACAGACACCAGCCACTGGCACCTTGTGTCCTCTGTCTTTGGAAGTTTTGCCCCATCCACAAGAGGTCTCTGGAAGGTGCCAACATAGAGCACCATGAGAGGCCTGACCAAGTGGCTCCTTGGGATGAATTCCGCAGTATCAGACAAGGATGACATCATCTGTCGTCCAGGGTTCCTGCCTGTACCGACTGTATCTGGATGTAGTTAGGCGGCCTCCCCAAGGGCAGCCTGCTGTACCACAGATGCTAATTAGTGATGTTACTCTTCCATGCCATTCCAAGCGTTGCTTTCCTGCTTTCTCAATGAACTTCATTACTAGCCACTGAAGATGGAAACGTGGGTGTCTGCCTTCATCACTTTGTCCTTCCTCACACTCCCACAGTGGCCATCTATCAAGTCTTGCTAATCCTGCCAGTAACAGGAACGTAGAAGCCATCACCCTGGGCAACCTCCTTGTAGTTTTCATACCACACTGTCTCATGCCCTGCCAGTTTGACTTTCTAAAGCAAATCCTGGGGCTGGAGAAAGGTGTCAGTGGGTAGCAGCACTTAACTTGCAATCAATCATGAGCACCTGAATTCAAATCCCCAGGACCCAGGTTAAAAGCTGAACCTGACTACGTGTGCCTGCAACAGGGGTGGACACAAGTGGATCCCGAGAGCTCACTTGCCAACCAGTCTGGATGAAACGGTGAGCTAAGGGTTCCATGAAAGGCCCTGGCCCAAGGCAACAGGGCAGAAAGCAATAGGAAAAGACACCTGCCATCTTTCTCTGGGGCCTTCACACTCACATGTATGTACCATAGGCACATAATATACAACCATGCACACACACACAAAGAATACTTCTATGGGCTGAAGCCTGCTAAGTCTTTGGCTGAGAGCTGAGCTTATTTGGAAGAACATAATTTATTGTGAATGAAGTTCTCTCCTAGGTTTCTTGAAGGTTTCTTCATGCTTCCTTGCATGAAGTTCAGGACTCTGGACCTGGCTGTTTGTGTGACTTTCCTCCATTAGCAACTGGAGTCCAACACTGCCTTACTCACACCTGGCTTCAGAGAGGGGCTAGAGGATAAAGGCTGAGGAAGACTAGAGGAAGAGGGTCCATCTGTGGCTATGGGGCAGCCATCATCCCTACCGCATAAGACTTTCTAGGGGTAGACTTTGCCGGAAGGGCACCAACACCGTTGTAGTGAATTCTCATCTGTGATTTGTAAAGGAGCCTAATAAACTCATTGGGCCCTCAGAGAGATCTTTGGGGGAATCACATCTTCATCTGTGGCTGGGGCCTTGGGAGGAGTAGAAGCTGTTGATGTCTGCCAAGAGAAGGAACTTTAGCAACACCAATCTTTAATTTAAAAAAAAAAAAAACTTTAAGTTTTTAAGGAAGGTAAGGACTGAGGGCCGTAAGCAGACAAACGGCTCCTGGCATCATGCTCCACAAGTCTTTTCTCCTAGAATTCCTGGCCACAGCCTCTCTCAGAACCCATGTGTGGATCTGGAGAAAGTCCACCCACGCAGCTCTCCCAGCAGCAAGGGAAGTCAGTCAGGGACACGGCAAAGCTCACAGAACCCAAAACACCTCAATAACTTCTCTTGCAATGCCAAAGCAAAGGCAGCTGAGACTGTGGACAGTCATCACCCACATAAGAAGCAGAGATTCTAAGCTGGAAACTTTCAGTTCCTTCCCACAGCGCACCCCACATCTACAGAGTTTGGCATCTTCAAAGACCTTATGCCAAGAAAAAAAAAAAAGCTGAAGAATTATTAAGCATCTCAGAAATCTAATAAAATCAAATTCCTTTCATGCAATTATTAAAAGAGAAAACATTTTATTAAACAAAACAATGGATTACAAACCTGAACACTTCAACAATAAAACTGCTGTATAAGAACATTTCAGTGAAATATAAAACAAACACAGCTCCCCATTCCCAACAGTTGCTCTACCACCCTGTAGGAAGAAAGGACAAAGCAGAAATCTGTGGGTCTGTAACTAAAGGCCCAGTGAGGAAGGTGTTCTCCTGGCTCTCAGCCCACTCATGTAGTTGAGAAATGCAGCCAGAAGCACATTACTGTACCCAGCCACCAAGTGGAAAAGCAGACACCATTCCACACACCCCTGAATGTTTTAGCTTGGGTGATGAATGAAAAGGGGGCTGTTAAAATGTCAAATCTACAAAAGATATTAGCTAGAAATCAGTGGCAGAAATAAGCAGGCTGCAGGATCTGTGTTTGGTGGCCTTGGGAGGATCAACATGCCTTCCTGGTCTTAGCGGTCTCTACCCACACAGGTCTTCTTTGTCATACGATTTTCACAAAGTGAACAATAGTTTTCGGTAGAATGGATATGTGTGGGTGACTAAGGCTGCTGCTGCTTGCCCTTCTCTGACCAGGAAGTCCCAGAATGGATAAAGATGCCTGAAAACACAAGACTATCACTGTCATCAACTGTCTTTCTATATATCTTTGGAAGATTCCAGCACATTCATCAGAAGCCAAGGCCAGTGGCTTTCAAAAACCTCTCTTTGTCCCTTCTTGCTGAACTGAACAACTGTGCCCAGCCTGTGGTCTCTAACAGGAGCCTCCACCATGGACCGCTAACATGCCCCAGCTGCTGCTGAAAAGGAGAGAGCCGCACACATTAACTAACTGAAGGCTGGCGCATTCTTACTCACAACGTCACAGATGCATTTCTATCTCACGAAATAGTTTATAAAGTCAACTGGAGTCTTTGGGTGACTAAAGCTACAGGGTTTCAAATATTTCTTTTTCTTAAAAGTAATCATCTTCTTGAGGTGGGGGAGATGGCTCGGCGGAGACACGCGCTTGCTGAGAAGCCTGATGCTCTGAGTCCGAGTCTTGGAACCCACCAAAGACGCTGGATGAGGTAGCGCGAGAACCGGCGGGAAGCTTGTGGCCTGGAGTACACTGTAGCAGAGACCAGAGAGACTGTCTCAATAAAGTAGAAGGAAGAAACAAATAAAGCTGTCTTCCGACTTCCACATGTGCACTGTAGTATACACACACACACACACACACACACACACACACACACACACGACACACATACACTCACACCTATATTTAAAAAACAAAACAAAAACAATTTTTTATAAAAATTCTACAGTAAAAACATACACAGTAAGTACATGTCAACCATGAAAAATGAATCGGCTGTGTGAGCCTGTAGTTTCCAAAGTGTCAGGTTCAGGTTGTGAGCCTGTAGCTCTTAATATTTTGGGGTGGTTTAAGCAGAAGAATCACTTGAACCTAAGAGTTCAAGACCAGAACAGACAAGGCAGGATCTCATATTAGCTAGTCATCAATCAATCAATCAATCAATCAATCAGTACTATTCCATCCTCTTCCATTTGTTGCGGCTTTCCTACTCTGACCATTCCTGGCACTTCATAGTGTTATCCACATACTCCAAGTTTTCTCTGTAACCCCCCTTGAGATGTCTTTCTTACAAGTGAATCTTGGGACAGTCACTATTATTCCCACTTCACAGATGTCACATAGAAGTGACATTTTCTGCCCTAGAAGGGATACATTAGGCATCATTAGACCTAATATATGACTCAGTTACGGCCTCCACAAAAGACTTCACTGTTCACGCTGGTCCATCCACTTACTTCCCTGTTCATCCACACTGCTCATCTCATGGCGCTAATTCTTTGTCTCTGGGTTTTGGCTTAGACAGTAGGGACCTCTCCAGGAGTCAGCAGCACCTGATTCAACTCTATGTCCTCTTCCTACACCGTCCAACCCATATCACAGCTACCTGCTTCTCTGACTGGATCACCAAACATTTCATGGGTGTGAGCTTCATGTCGGCAGACACTACATTCCCAGAAGTGCCAGGAAGCACATGCCAGAACATGAGGGTACTCATGGACTGTTGTATAAAAACTGGTGTCTGAACTCAGTCTGATGGCAAATGAAGGATGGGTTTTTGTGCAGTGATGGTAACCACTGCGGACAAGAGACAGAGAAGCAGGTAGGGGGTCGGCTGAGAATGAAGACAGAGGAATGGGCTGGAGTATCGTAGGAACTCTGAGGGGAAGCAGAGGGGAGCAGGGGTGGGGGGGAGCACCCAGATCCAGAAAAACCCAATTCTACTTGGTCACCTAATGCTAGGTGACTAGGCCATATCTAGATTCCTGATACCAGACATCCAGCTACCAAGCCTGCAGCATGGAGAATAAAGGCCTGGGGTAACTTAACTGTGGCAATTATCCCCACTCAGACAGAGTGACTTAAAACCCAACACAGCTCTTGCGGGACAGACCATAAGCTCCAAGACCAGGGCATTAGCAGCAAAATGCAGCTCACTGGCTGGAGAGGCCCCAGTCTGACTCCCAGAGCCCAGACCACTTACCCGACAACTGGAACCGGCAGGGCGAGTTTGGCAAAGCATGGAGCTGCGGTGCTGAGGAAGAAAGTTGGACCCACTGGGCACAGCGGATGGCAGGTAAATGGAAATGTTCTGGTTCTTTCTGGCAGCGGTGTCCTGGGGAGGGACGGTCCCAGAACAGCATCTGACAGCGTGGAAGGGACTCAGAGAGAGGGCCACGCTGCCGGGGACTCGGGTTTTCATTAGGTCCTCAATAGGGCTCTCGGACACAGAGCATGATGGGCCTGCCACAGGAAAGAGAACAGTGTCTGTGAGCTACAACACGTGAACTACATGGCCCTCAGTTTCATTTCCCATGTCACACACGCGGACAGCTGCTACACTTAAACACTGACGGCTGTTCTTGAAACAACATTTAACCCAACAATGTATGTTTATATTGGTTTATCACAACAAGAGAGTTTAGAAGACAAGCAGATCTCTTTGCTTTTTTGGTGTGAGTGTGAGTGTGTGTGTGTGTGTGTGTGTGTGTGTGTGTGTGTGTGTGTGTGTGTGTGTCTACCATTGTAACCAAACTGACCATCTGTCTGGGTTAGTTTTATGTTAACTTGATACAAGCTGGAGTCATTTGGGAAGAGAGACAATAAAGAAAATTCTTCCAAAAGACTGGCAAGTCCATAATACATTTTCTTGATTGATGTGGGAGGGCCCAGGCCACTGTGGGTAGTGCCACCTCTTGGCTGGCAGTCTTGGATTTATAAGAAAACAGGCTGAAAAGTCAGTAAGCAGTGTTCCTCCCCCTCCTCCTCTTCTCCTTCTCCCTCCTCCTCCTCCTCTTCCTCGTCTCCTCTCTTCTCCTCCTCCTCTCCTCCTCCTCTTCCTCTTCCTTCTCTTTTCCTCCTCTCCTTCCCCCTCCTCCTCCTCTTCTTTTCCTTCTCCCTCCTCCTCTTCTCCTTCTCTTGCTCTTCCTCTTTTTTTTCTATTCTTCTCCCTTCTCCCCAGGTCAAGAGAAAGGTCTAAGCAGACCACTGAAGTGATCTGCATTTCTTTCCTTGGCTTCAGAACCAAGGGGATCTATGTTCTATTTTGGCCCCTTCTCGTTCGACTTTAGACATAACCGTAGGAACACATTTGTCTCAGAGCTCCCTCTGATCCCCCTGAATCCCCCTTATGCCCTAGACATGTATGTGGTGCCTCTGTCCTGCATTAAACACACTGGGTAAACCGGTTTGCTTTGGGGATCCTGTCTGCCACTGCATCTCTGATATTAAACAACCCCATCTCTGAGTTGGGGATGCCAAGGAGAGCACCAGGGCACAGGCTTGTAATTAGCACAGAGAGTGATGGCCAAGGATATCCCACAGTGGGATGCCATGGCAACACAGTTCCTTCAAAGAAGGAACCAAAGACTCATGAAAGACTGGATAAGAAGAGAGGTGTCCCTGCTACTCAGCACCAGCCACTCAGACTAGAGGGTCCACTTTACTGTCTCCTCTATGGAAAGCAGCCTCCAGGATTACCAAAAGTCACACACTTGCTCTCTTTCACTCTGGTTTTGTTCCTTCCCATCTTATTTCCACAGCTATGTTGGAATGCCTAGGCTTGCACAAATTATAACAGAAACGCGTCTGGGAGGAGGGCTGCATGCATCTAAATAGGTATTTGTAGTCTACGTATTTCTTGACCACCACTGCTCTAGACGCTAAAAATATAACCGTGAATTAAAACAGGAGGGAAAACCCTCCACCTTTGTGGGGTTGGCACTCCGATGGGAGAAGACAGCCAGTGAACAAATCATATGAATAAATGTCATTAGAAAGGGATGAGGACCAAGAAGACAAATCTAACAGAAAATGTGGGTTAAGGGTGTTGAGGACTCAGAGTGACGGCCTTAAAACAAAGCTCTGAAAGAAGTAAATAAACCAACATTCTCAATGCTCAACACAAAGCCGGCACTGAATTAATATGAACACATATTAATTCTCAGTTCTCTATATCCACAAGTTGGCATTGCAACCATGGATTGAAAATATTAAAAACAAACAAAAAGAACAGCAAGTCTACAGAAATATGGACAGACTGTGTTCTTTGAACAATATAATCTTTGAACAATATAATGTAACAACGATTTGTATAAATTTACATTGTATCAGGTGTCATCCAACCCACAAAAGCCTTAAAGTAAACAGGAGGATGTGCCCAGGTTATATGTAAATGATATTCCATTTATAGAAGGGACTTGAGACTCTGAAGATCTGGTGTCTGCAGAGGGACTTGGAACCAATCCTCTGTGCTGTGGGTGTTGAGAGAAAACAATGTTTTGTTTTAGATTTCATTTCTATAAGAAATAAATTTATCAATATACTTCTCGTGTGCTAGCAAGATATACTTTCTGGCAATTATAGTCAATTTTGAGGCAATTTATATTTTATTTTATGTGCATTGATGTTTGCATTCATTTATGTATGTGTGCCATATGCATGTTATGCCTACAGAGAGACCAGAAAGGGCAGTGAACCCCCTGTAACTGGAAGTACAGACAGTTGTGAGTGTCGTGTGGGTGCTGGGAACTGAACCCAGGTTCTCTGCAAGAACAGCAGAGCCTCTGCCCCTAAGATAACTCTGGTGGTTGAATCTGAAATGCCCCCTGGTCTCATTTTGAAAACTTTCTCCCTGGCTGGTAGCACTGTTCTGTGGGGTTGTGAAACCTTTGGAAGCTGGAATGCAGCTGGTTGGAGCTGGGGCCTCCCACACCCGCTTCCATCCTGCTCTGACCCCTGACCCCTGCCCTGTGATGTCCTATCATGTGAGTGCTGCCTTAACCATCAGACTGAATCCTCTGGAACTGGGAGGCGAGCATGTCCTCCCTGAGGTTGCTCTGCCGGGGACTCTGCCACGGTGACACAAAAGGAACTAACAGAACGCCGTCTGAACGCTTCGAGGTGAAGCCAGGACTCACTGTGTGGTGTTTCGGCTCCACCTGCCCACCTGGTTATGGCAGGAGATGACGGGGACTCAGGGAGACTCAGGGGGACCCAGGAGCTAAGGAGCCTCCATTCAGGCACACGTGCTCTGTGAAGTGCACAGGGTCACCCACAGCTCACCTCTTACAGCTTCCTCCACGGGCCTTCCTGCGGCCTGCACGGGATACACACTCAAGCACTGGATCTCGTGCACAGACGCATAAGCGCTTGTCAGCACAGCATCTTCCCTTGAAAGACAAGAAGGGTTCACTTCGCACTTCTCTCCAGGAAGACAGCGTGAACAGTGCTGAGGTCAAAGGCTGTTCTAAACTGTGGTTTTAAAAATGTATTTGTTTGAATGTCTGAGTGTCTCCTGGAGGTCTGTATGTGTACTACATACATGCAGTTCCTACAAGGGCCAGGAGAGTACATCAGACCCTATGAGATTGAAGTGGCAGTTGATTGCAAGCAGCCACGTGAACGCTGGGAAATGAACCCAGATCCTCTGGCAAGAACCGCGAGTGTTCTTAACCACGGAGCCATCCCTCCGGCTCTTCAAAGATTTTTCTATTAGTCAAGATCTGAAAAGCCCAGACAGAGTCTCGGTTAAAGATTATTTAAACAGAACGAAAAGGTACTGAGGATTTTTAATGATTCTTCAAAGGTCTTTTTTGGTTTCTCTTTGCTTGCACAGACTCCTAAGTTCTAGTCAGGAGTTATCACTTGGCACATCACATTTTGTAGCCGTGAGCTTAAGGACTGCCTACTCACAGGGTTTAGATGCTCCACAGTCCTCAACCTCTGCCAGAGAATTCTAGAATCCAGCCTCCCCTGCTGGGCAAGTGGAGTCTCAAAGCTTATTTTAAGGTTTGAGAGATCCTTTAAGGGTTGGGAGATCCTTAGCCTGGGCTCTCACCATGTATGTTTGCAGTTCCTGTTCACTATAAGCATGAGCAAAGGAGGAAAAAAAAAAAAACACAGACTAAGAATTCCCACAGCCCTGGCCATACCTCTGTGATGTGGCCGCAAATGGAAGGAACAGATCAATAGGCACGTGTCTCTTAGAGAACCTCTTATTGCTCTGGATGGATTCTGTAATCTAAACAGGTACAAAGGTGCATGTATAAAAACAGACTTAAGGACACACACATTTGCAGTTACAAAAACAAACATAAAAATCGGTGAATGGAAGCATTGCTGAGCAGGACTTTAGAAACCGAGTACCTTGGCCATGACGGCTGGAGAGAGATTGTCCCGGACATACTTCACATAATCAACTGTTGCCTCAATAACGGAAGCCACATCGCTCTTCCTCCCCTTGACGTGTGGAAGGAGAGTGCGCAGCTGCTCGCAGGAAAACTTGATGCGCTCTCTGTTCGAACAGTTGTAAGGAAACAAGGAAGCATTAGTCTCACCTTCTTCTTTGGGCCTAGGGATAAACAGTTCTTCTTTGTGGGTTTTTGTGAAAATGGACTGTCCCCATCTTCATCTGGTCTCTGTTTCAGAGGAAGGCCATGTCCCCATAGGAGCCCTCCCAGCTCCTACAATCACAACTTTCAGGGTTCCCCCTCGCCTGCTGCACAAAGTGAACAACTGGCAAGGTAGAGAGTCTGTGCCCTGGCAGCCCCAGCTCCCTCGACCAGGCCCATAGTTGTGGGTGCCCAGGTAGTGCCAAGCCCTGAAGATCTGTTGAAGTATGCCCCTGGGAAAGAACCATATGTTATACAGACATCCTTTTTCAATGCACACTAGAAGCCTAGCAAGCCAGAAGGAGTCAGGATCTGGGTCTGGACTATATTTCTAACAAGAGATCATTTGGTGTCTTGTGACGTGTGTGTTTTACACATGCTGTGGCTTGGGCTGAAGGAAAACAAGAAGATAGCTTTCCTAAGTAGAAGGACTGAAACGTAAGGAACTGTGTCCAGGCTACCATCCAAAAGAGACGTACATGGCAAATGTAGATCTAATTGAATTAATTCAAGCCCTTGGCATTTTCCCCGAAGGACATGATTTATCCACTTGCAATCTTGACATGTGTAGGGCAACTGGACCCTTAGGCAAGTCCTTAAATTTCTCTTAATTTCAAAATAGAAGAAAAATTAAATTTAAAAATATCTTGTTTGACATATATATAGTCAGGGGGTGGAAAATATGTTGGTAAGTGGAATTTTTATAGGGCTTCAGGAGTCCTGGAGTTTGGCAGAGATGTCTCGGGGACTATTCTGGGGGAAAAGCAGTGGGGAGCCAACAGCTGGACACTATTACTGGAAGGCTTTCCACAGAGAACACTCACTTGCAAAAGAGCTGAAGATGAAACACACAGCGAAGTTTCCGCGTGCAAAGCGGTCTCGCGGTGAAATAGGAAAAGTTGCCTAAACACATTAAACAGGAGGACGCCTTAGCAAATTACAGTCTATTGGATCGTCTGCATTTCATCTGCAGGGGGAGCGGTGTCATAAATCTTATTGGGGAAAAGTAGTATTCAACACAGGGTAGAAAAATAATCCTAGCCGTTAAATAAAGCAAGAACAAAACACAAAACAGGACAGAAAGCAAAGATATCTACAGACGACTTGACTGTGGACAGCCTGGCTCCCTTTCGCAGAGCTTCACTAGATACAGGTCCCTTCCACAGTGAAAATGCCTTCATACATGTTCCAGTGTGTATGCGGGAAACGCGTGAATGCAGGGGAAAGAGGAGAACTACAGCTGAAAACAGAGAATCACAGAATAAGATCACTTAGAGTCCCTACTGGTCTCCAGTCATCCCGCGGCACTGATGCCAGCCGATCAGACGGCTGAAAGGGTGGCATGCATTTCGTGGTCACATTTCCTAGATTCATCTAGACTGCTGGCAATGCTAAACCTGGGAAATGTGCGGACGTGATTCCCGTGGGTTGAGGGTTATCCACGACACCAAAGCCGCGACAACATTCACCTCCTCAGCTTTTCTTTGCTTGAGTGAAGAAGAGAAGTCTTCCTGATTCTCTGGGGACCCGGCACTGGGGCCTTTCCTCCAAGTTCGGGGTCATTTTTCAGCTGCCCAAAGCTAGAAGCAAGTGAAAATCAAGCCACATATTAAAGAGGAAAATTGTCAGACGAATGAGTCACTAAACAGATGGAAACTATATCTCCTGCTTCATACAAAGGGTGGCAAATACATCACATCACTGTACCTGACACATTCGGTACTAAGTCTTTTCTTTCGGATTTTGAAATATCATAAATCCAATGGTCAAAACACTAAAACACACTGATTAAGCATAACATAAAACCAGGGCTAAGACATTCTAATTCTATCTGTTGTGACTGTTCCAAGTTACAAGCAGTCACCCACGGACAATGTTTCTGTATTTTTATTCTTTACTTCGTGCTGTTGGGAAAGCATTGTACCACCAGCCTACTTCTCCTTCCTGCTGTAGTTGATAAATTACACACAACGGTTGATGCTCAGACAACCCGTTATAAAGCAGACGGACTTAGACAGCTCCCGCCCAACTGTAAGCTAACGTTAAGTGTTCTGAGCCGGTTACAGGCCATGCTATAATGTCAGGCAGATCAGATGTAGTTTTTACCTACAATACTTTGCACCGGGTCTTATACAGTCCCTCTGCAAATCACAGAACATGACTGTATCTACCCTTAAGAAGTTAAGGCACATGGGGCTGGAGAGATGGTTCAGTGGTAAGAGCATTGGATGTTCTAGCAGACGACATAGGTTCCATTTCCAGCACCCTATGTGATGGTTCACAACCATCTGTAGCTCTAGTTCCAAGGTACTAGATGCCCTCTTTTGATTTCTGAGGGTACTGCATGCCTGTGGTACACACCCATATATATGAAATAAAAATGTAGAAGCTAAGGTCCATTACAGAGAAACGAACAAAGCCACTTAACCTTCCCTCCTCCAGCTTTATCCGCATAGTTTCTCTCCCTTCCCATTTTCTCATTTAATGGATGTTGTTCTGACCCTCCTGTCTAGATCCTAGAAATCCATGGTTTTTCACTATTCTATTAGCTTTTATTTTATGTGTATGATATGTAACCCATGTGTGCCTGGAGCCCACACGTGCCAGAAGAGGGACTAGGACCCCTGGAACGGCAGGCACAGACATTGTGAGCTACCACATGGGTGCAGGGAATTGAACCTGGCTCCTCTAGAAGAGTGGCCAATGCTCCTGATGGCTGAGCCATCTGTACAGGCCCCCTTCATCGTTTTTGAAAAATTAAGAGGCGGAGGGAGAGGGACAGAGGAGGAAAGGAGGAAAGGAGGAAGGGAGGGAGGGAGCGAGGGAGGGAGGGAGGGAGGGAGGGAGCGAGGGAGGGAGGGGAGGAGAAAGATAGAGGGAAGGAGAAGGAGAGGGGGAGAAAGGGGAGAGAGGGAGAAAAGGAAGAAGGGAGAGAAAGATAGGGAGAGGGGATGGGGAGACAGAGATAGAGAAACAGACACACACACACACACACACACAGAGAGAGAGAGAGAGAGAGAGAGAGAGAGAGAGAGAGAGTGCATGTAGAGGCCAGAGTTCAACTTGGTGTCTTTCCTGAGGCGCTAATCACCACAGCTTTTGTTACAGGATCTCTCGCTGTCCTGAAGCTCATGAAGTGGGCCTGGCTGGCCAAGGTGCCCCAGGGATTCTCCTTCTGTTCCACCACCCCAGTGCTGGTGTTCTAAGCACCCACATCTCAAAGGTTTTGTGTTTGAATTCTTGGTCTCAAGCTCAAGTCCCCATATTTCCAAACAACTCCTTTATTGACTGAGTTATCCCCCTAGCACTATAATCCTATTTTCTTTATCCAAAAGGGTGGATAAATTGACTGGAAATTTTACTTTTATTTACAGTGGTAAAGTTAGGAGGGAAAGAAAAAGAATCGAGATTAGTAGACACTGAAAAATGCTTTCATGTAGTATAGGAAAATCACGAAACCTCGCGGCACCCCGCCCCCAGACGGGGGTCATCTTTCCATAAACCTCTTTGCGGCTCAGCTGCTAAATAAGATCCACAAAGCTGCTGCTATCCATGCACCACTCCAGTGAGGTCATCTTTGGTCTGCCACACTGAACTGGCTGCCAAGTCCCTTCCTTTTTCCAAACAGTAGATGGCTGCATTCTACACATGCCAGGAAAGCCCAATTCAGCATTTCCACCATCAGCCTCTGTGGGCTACAGCACTTGTTCATTCCAGGCCTCTCTAAGTTCTATCAAAAACCTCCTTGGTGTAAAAAAAAAAAAAAAAAAAAAAGAGGGAAACATTCACCAAAAGTCGGTTTTTACAAAATATCGGAAGAGTCTGACCCCAAGTTCGACTGTTCATGGGAGATAGGCTTGAATGCCAGTTCTAACACCCAGAAGGGAGGCATCAGACACTGAGACAGCCCAGACAAACTGCCCCGCAGAAAAACTTGAGCTTCCTTCATAGGTCGTATAATAAATTCTCCTAATAGTTGAAGCACTGAGTTTGTGAGTTCAAAACAGACAACAGGAAAGAAGTGCTTTAGATATAGACTAGGTAAGATTGTGCTTGTCTGTTCAAATACCGGAGGTTTAAACTTGTGTTTTAAAAGAGTCTTCTATTATTTGATTTGAGTATCAAGGAGCTTTCTTATACTATGTGATGTACCATGACCTCAGCTCTAGAATTTTAAACCAAAGAATGCTTCCTGTCTTCCAGGCAAGAGACCACCTGTCTTCCAGGCAAGAGACTGCCCCTCTTGAGCCCTCTCAGTACCGGGGCTAGTGTCCTGTTGTGACTTTCTCTGCAGTATCTTTAATAAAATATACACACTATAAACACTTGTAATATGGAAAAGTAGGAAAAATAGAACTAACCAAAGAAACAGATCAGTAGAAAAGTCACTGCGGGAAGTCTGGAGGTGCAGTCCACATTCCGGAAGCCTCTTAATGCTTTCCACATCTGCCGGGAGTTTGGAAAGAGCTCATTTTAATCCTAAAAGCACAGCCAGTGATTTTTACAAAGCAGGGTTTTTTTTAAAAAAAAAAAAATAGAAAGCAAATAGATTTCATTCCAGAAAGTATAAAACCACTCAGATTAGAAAGTACCATTGAAAGGCTACAGATACCACACCGTACCCCCAGGACATCCTCTATCCAGTCAGAACCTGGTAACTTAGGTATTTTACAGTGCTCCCCCAACCGAGCTTATGCATCATCTTCCTATTTATAAGTAAGCGTCAAGCTACTGCACTGTTGAGATATAGCCTCCAGGGGAAAAGAATCTGCAGCTGTCGGCCCTTGGAGCAATGACAGAGCAACTAGAGAATGACTGTGACCCATAAGAGGTGCCGGACAGGTGGTGAGCAGCTGTGTTTGCCCTGAGGACCAGAGAACAGAGTGCAAAGGGACCTTTGCCACAAGCTTAGTCAGGCCCAGTAAGGTGAGGCCAGAGGGGTTAGGGGCTTGGGGGAAGGGGAGGAGGTGCTACAAAGTGAACTCACTACACTGACCACTGAAAACCAACACTCTAAAGAGGAAAACATATGTGAACGAGAATGTGAACTTATATATTAATAACCCTCAGTGTGTTTCAAGAACATATTAACTTTAAGTTTAAAAAAAAGTGTTCAGCCTTGCAGAGATGTTAACTGTGAGTGAGTGTGTGCAAGATGTAGAGTTGATACACATATACATTGTAAACATAGCACAATCAAATTAGAGTATCCATCACCTTACGTAATTATTCTATTGCACATGTGTTGAAAACATTTTCAATGGATACTCTTAGCAAGTTTCAAGTATTCCACACAGCGCTGTTAATACAGTCATCAAGTATCTTAGGTCTTCACTATTTGCTCGTATGCAAAATCTCCCCACCCCTCGACCAATCCTCTCCGTCCAATATCAGCTTAATTCTTAAAAAAGTTCTCAGCTGGTATCCCAGCGTACAGCAAGCAAAAGCTAGTTATTAAAACCACATTAATTCCAGAACGTGGAGGCAGTCTGCTGTCCTTTTGGGATAAAAACTAACGGAATCGGTGCTAAAGTGTTGCAATACACACAGTACAATAGGTAAGGGATTACAAAGAAGAGGTCTAATTGAGGCACTGAGGTCAATGCTTTGTATCTAAAGCTATGCAAGAGAAAGGGTGGCTCTGTATTCAGTTCAAGAGGTAAAAAAATATAAGAAGGAATTCCTGTGCAGTTCCAGGTTAATGCTCCTGCTTTTTGAACATCCCTGTAATGAAGTAACCTAATCAATTATATTTTAATAACCAAGATATGAGGGCAGCCAGGCTATCAAATGAAAAGAAACATAGTAACAATCTCAAACAAAAACAAACAGCACCCTTTATCACACAGCTATCATGCAACTCATTGGAAATTTCTGAACATTTCCACTTCTCTTGCAGATAAAGGATTTTTTTTCTTCCTTATTTACACTTATTTCCTGACTATGATTAAAAGCACATTCATGAAATACATAGCAAATTCGCAGTCCACAAATAAAGACATAAGTGAAAAATCAATTTAAAGATATGCAAACATGGCTTTGTATAGACTATTAATGAGAATTTCTTAAACCTTTGCAAATATATTTTAACTCACCCATATTTATGAAAAATGTTTTCCAGTACTTTACCACCGTGTTCATCTTTTCCAAGGTCAGAGGCTCAGTGAAACTAATATCCACTCCATATTCTGAAATACAGCCTAAAGAAATCATGTTAGCGCCAACCTTGTGATTCCAGCTTGAAAATGAAGCACATGCCACACGAGGAAGTCACATACGTACCTTTAAATTCTTCAGGCATTATAAAAACAAACAGCAAATATATGTTTTTCTTCTTGCCGGATCTGAGGGAGAAGCGTTACAATGAAACAAAATCATCATTCAAAGAAAGTCAGACACAAGAGTTGAACTACTAGGAACTGAACTATAGATGCCTTGAACTTGCAGAATTCGATATGATGGAAAAAACTTTTAAACTCAGCATCTCGGATCAAGGAGGAGTGATGTGATGGACCGCTCCTTTGTCACTAAATGAATAACCTAAACCGCACCCATATTTTCAGATTTCTCATTAGTTTAAAAAAGGTTGCAGGAAAAAAAAGGACATTTCAAGACCACTATAAGAATAAAATCAGGGACTGGAGAGACGGCTCAGTGGTTGAGAGCATTGGTTGTTCTTCCAGAGGCTCCTGGTTCAATTCCCAGCGCCCACATGGCAGCTCACTACTGTCTACAGCTCCAGGTCCAGGGGACCATACACCCATGGTAAAATGCTATTGCACATGAAATAAAAATAAGTAAATAAAAAAATAAAATCATCAAAATACAGATTGGGGAAACCTACATAAAACTAAAAACTCTTTTAAACACATACATGTGTGTGTTTGGGAAAAGATGCATATGTATAATTTAAGACAAAAATAATATGAGGAAAAGAAAGCTGAAGTTTGAATTTTTTCAAGTTTTTTTGGAATCATAAGCAAGAAACACCGAATATTGATTAGATACTTCAACATTAAAGAATTATTCATTTATAGATGTGTCACTAGTATTGGGACTTTTGTTGAGTCCAGTCTTAGACAACTATTTACTAAAACGCCAAATGGATGAGCCAAACAATATCAGATTTGCTGTGAAATCCACCTGCAGCAGAACTTTCTGGAAGAGGAAAGAGCAATCCAGGCTGCACTGAGGACTTGGGAGTTCACTGCTCTAGTCTGCTTTCGTATGCTTGCAAGGTTCCAAACTAAAATGTCCTGCGCAAGAGTTAACCACACTCGTGTGGACAGTACGCCAGCTAAGCAAAAGCTGGTTCTTCAGTTCACAAGCTTGGGTCATCCAGGAAGAGCGAACCTCACCTGAGAAAATGCCTCCATCAGACTGGCCCAAGGGCAAGCCGGGAAGGCATTTTCTTGATTAATGATTGATGTGGAGGGCCCAGCCCGCTGTGGCTGGTGCCACCCCTGGTGGTCCTGGGTAGAATAAAAAAGCAGGCTGAACAAGCATGAGGAGCAAGCCAGAAAGCAGCACTCCTCCAAGGCTGTTGGTCCCCACTTTGAGTTCCTGCCCTGACACCCCTGAACAACGGACTAACATCAGGAGACTGAAATAAGCCCTTTCCTCCCCAAGTTACTTTGGTCGTAGTATTTATCATAGCACTAGAACCTGACTAAGAACCCCTGCATAGTACTGTTAGTTTATGTAAAAGTGAATGTATGTTATTCTATGTTCCATATTTTATCATAAACTTATCTGTCTGTAGGAGGCTGGGTCCAGGGTCCCCCGTAAATACCCAAATCAGTCTTTGTTCAAGCCCCTTGCATACAAAGGCTTTTAGTTAAGGGGCAAGGCAGAGGACCAGGAAGTCCAGGTAGCCTGGTCGGGGGGGGGGGTGTCCATCTAACAGGCTTAGTCTCTTCCTGCCTCAGCCTGCCTAGTCCCCTAACCTCTCAGGCCTCTTAAGAGAGTCCCCAGGTGCTCTCAACCAGCTTACAAGGGGCTGTCTTGACACCACCTTAATTCTGCTCTCTCCCTCAGCTCTTTCCATAGGGGAGCCGAGTTGTTCCGACCTAATCCTGTTTCCGTACATCCTGAGTGGTTCAAGGTGCCCTGGGATCCCACTGGAAGAAAGTAACTCTCCCTCCATGGGACTCCAGCTCTCTGAAAGCAGCTTGGACACGAAGAAGCTGGTCTTTTACAGAGATCTAAGGTGAAATGGAGGTGTCTAAGATGGTAGGGTCCTGACTCACTCTGATCCCAAGAACCTCATCACACCCAAAAATAGATTCAGGCCACTGCCAACTCCACACAGAGCTCAGGGTTCTAGCTTCAACATCCACCATAGCTCTTAAGAAACTCTAAAACGATGTGTCATTTGATAGGGGAGTTCAGCCAATCATATTCTGTTTTTGGGGCGTGCCGCCCTCAGGCAAAAGCCTGCCTATAAACCTAGCAAGCAAGCTCTGCTAGCTCTCTTTTTTCGCCTGGCTCCTGCATCCAGACGGATCCTTTGGATTCTGGTGTAAGCTGTTGTAAGTCTTACTTCTGTTTATTAAAGCTGTATATTTTGTATCAAGATAGTCTGGGGACTTTTCATTATCAATCGCCCTGCGGCTACAGTCATTTTAATGACAGATATTTTAAAAAGCATTCCTATGGGGCCAATATCAGCATTATATACCAAATAAATTTAAATTATTATTAATTATAAAATTAATTTGTTAAAATAAATTAAGCCCCCTGTTGTCACTCATACCTACTCTTTCTCAAGTTAAACTGTTAGTTCTTACAACAGCATGCCAAACCGGCCACATACCCACACTGTGAAGCTTCTACGTGTGAAGACACGCTTCCCTTTAAAACGCAAAGTGGTCAGATTTTATGTCAAGTATATCGGCAAACTGTATCTTACAGATGCAAGAGATAGGTCTCAAAGGCGATTTTAAAGATACAGAGTCAAGATTCGAAACATTTTACCTGATTAACTTGACAGCCTCCAGTTCCTCCACAGTTAAGGTGGAAGTCACCTTCAAGAACACGATGTCAAAAGAGTTTGCAACCAAAAGCGCAGCCACCTTCTTCACGTCGCTCACGGTCAGGGTGATCTGCGCTGTGGTGGAGAAGAACTTCTGAACAGAGCCAGTCAGGAAGTATCTTGTGGCATCGCCAACCAGCAAAAGGTCTAGTCGCTCCTGAAAGAGAAGGGAAGAAGCAGAAGCCGTGTGTGATTACCACCAAACAAACTCAACGGAGAAATAACGCAACAGCAGCCCCCCAGCAGCACTCGAGGCCAGGAAGCTCTGCTTTGCTTCCATGCCCAGGGCTTTGCTTGGGTCTAAGCATCTTGCTACTTTATTAAGATCCGAATGTGCTTTCCCTGTAAACCTCTCTTGTTCCATTAACAGGTACGGTTATGATTCAGTCTCTTTTTTGTTTGTTTGCTTGTTTTGTGTTTTTTTTTTTTTTGAGACAGGTTGCTCTGTAGCTTTGGTGCCTCTCCTAGAACTAGCTCTTGTAGACCAGGCTGTCCTTGAACTCACAGAGATCCGCCTGCCTCTGTATCCCAAGCGCTGGGATTACCACCATGTTTCCTAGTTGGACTTTTCTACTGGAAAACGTGTTTTGTGAGAAAGTCAAATTAGCAAGTCCCATATTATGCATCTTGCTAAAAACATATTCTGGAGAACAAATAAAAAAATCTAAATTTGGTGCTAGAGAAATGGCTCAGTGGTTTTAAGAACCCTGACTACTCTTACACCTCAGAATCTGAGGACCCAGATTCATTCCCCGCACCCAGCAGTGGCTTTCAGCTGTTGCTAATGACAGTTCCAAGGGATCTGGTCCTCTTCTGGCCACCATAGGTACCAGGCACACACATGATACATATACATACATGCAGACGAAACAATTAGACAAAAATATCTCATAATGTTTTAAGTGAGTTTATCATTGTGTATTGGGCCTCATTCCTAGTAATCTTTGGCCACATGAAAACATGGGTTGACAGCTGGGCCCTTGCCTCTCTCCACACAAGGCAGCATCCCTCATATGAATATCTCCCTCTCCTCCAGCCCCCACGTACTTCTGTTGGGAATGCCTGGAATTTAAGATATTATCTTTTGTATTTACAATTAATATTTACACGTAATGGTTTCTGCTATCATCTCTTTGGTCCATACTGTTCCTTGTAGCTCCTGCTTGCTTCTCTCTGGGATTCACTTTATTGAATTTCAGTGCAGGCTCAGGAGACTCTTCCAGCCTGAGAAGGCAGTCACTGCGCCCACAGTAGTTAGCTGTACTAGGTCTCTGAATTTTGAAGATGATGGTGCATCACCTTGTGATATTCAGAGTGGCTATAGAATATACCAAGTGACTTTGCTTTCTTTGGGTGACTTTATGTTCTTTATCTCCTGTGTTCTGATAGTATCCGAGTACAAAAACTCATTACTGACTCTGGAAACGGACGGTACTTCTTCAACAGGGGTCACTTTTTCCTCTCTGTTGTCTTTCTCTCCTTGGGAATCTTCTGTGAAATGTTAGAAACCCCAGGAAGAGTCTTCTTCCCATTTGATAGATTAGATCGCATTCTCAGCCTACAGTCCTTTAAAAAGTACTGAATTTATTATGACTTGTGAATTTTTAAGATTCTATATTCTTTGGTGTTTTTTATAACCTGTTGTTTTTGGAATGTGATAACGTCTCTGAAGAAACAAATTAGAATTTTACTTGTGTCTACGTGCATGCATTGTGTTGTGTGTGTGTGTGTATCTGTGTGAGGTCACAGGACAACCCTGAGTGTCGTTTTTCCAGCAGCGTCTACCTTGTTTGTCAGGACAGGGTCTCGTACTGGGCTTGGCGTTTTCTAACTATGACAGGCTGTCTGGCCAGGAATCCCCGTATCTCCACATCCCCAGAGCTAGAATTACATGAACATGCAGTCATGCCTGCTGTGTGTTCATGTGTGATTGAGCATGTGTATGCCTGCAGGTGGTCGGGAGAAGACCGCATGGGATTTCTTCTTCTGTGTCTCTCCATCTCATTTTTCGAGGCCGAGTCTCTCACTGAACCTGGAACTCAAAGATTTGCCTAAACTGGCTGACCAGTGAGTTCCAGGGGCTCCCCCTGTCTCTTCCCAACGCAGGCGGGGAGGCACCTCAGGCATGAGTCACTGTGCCTGGTCTTTACACGGACACTCAGGTCCTAATGTTTGCACGTAAGTACTTTACCAACTGTGCTATCTCCTCAGCCTCGCAAATTGGAATCCAGAAATTTGTTTCTATTCTCTTTTGTCCTAGCCCCTTCAGCTTGCCCTTTTACAAGTACTAAAACAAGGTTGATTATGAACAAAACCCATCTCTTTCTTGTCGATAGGACAAGTCCAAGATGAAGGTGTTGGCAGGTCCAGTGTCAAGCGAAGGCATGATTTCTGGTTCAGGGAAGGCAGCCTCTCGGTGTGCCTTCACACGGTACAAAGGCTGATGGATCTACCTTGGGCCTCTTTTACGGGAACACTTATTCTTGATGACAGACAGGCCCGAGTGACCTAATCACCTCAGAACAGCCCCACCTCCTAATGTCAACACCTTGTAATGAGGACATCAGGATGTATATTTGGAGAGGACACCAACACTCCTAATAAAGCAGGCTCACAATGTATGCCCAGGAGAGCTACACACTTGGGCAGCTGCACCTTCCTACATCCGGGAATCTGAGAGAAACTTACGACTCAAGGACAATGTGGCTGTAAATGTCCCCAGTGGTGGCGTCCTTTAAATGGAAACTGATTTGGGTCCAGTGTTAGGGGGCAGGGAACTGGAAAACGGACTGGAGAGCAGAGACGGAATCTGTGCCGGTTCCTGGTCACACAGAGGACTGGAAATTACCCACACTGGGAGCCTCCTTCCCACACGCAGCTCACTTTCCATACATTAGTTCACAGGCGTGTTCCGGAGGTAAACGCCTCCCTGCTCTGGTCAGAGGAACAAGCTGAGCGCAGGTGTTCTGCATGTAGCTGCTTCCACGCCAGGTGATCGCCCTCAGCACACGTGCAGCCCTTTGTTTCTGCCCATCACTAATAGGCCCCCACCTCAGCATCTCTCCTCTCCCGTCTACAAAGCTATAGCTTTTCTCGGTCATGCACATTTGGGCCTGCCGCTTTCTAGATTTCAAGTCTGACTGTGGGTTTTTTAGGTTCTGAGAGACATGGCTGTGTTGGAACCAAGATTCCATCTAGAACCACGCCCGGCATCGGGTGGCTGTGTCTCCTTAGGTTTTAACGTAGAGTTGTCCTGCCCCTTTCTTTTGCAGTGATATTTACTTGTTGGAGGCTGAATTATTTTAAGTGTCTCCTGCTGTGGCGTTCAGAACAGAGGAGGTGGAGGAAACATTTATACTCAATCCACTAGCAGGAGCCGGTCTGGCTCACCTGCCCCACCGACGGCAAAGGACAAAGGGTCCACTCGTTAATGTGTCCTTGTCTTTTGTTTTCTGCAAACTGACACCAGCCTCCAAACTTACCTCTATTTCCCTCAAGAGCCCTAACGTTTTCAAAACATACCATAACCTTTTCCTTCAAAAACAATTATTTTGCTATTTGAGACACAGCCTTGGTATGATCCCTAGGCTGGTTTCAAACACTCAATCCTCCTGTCCCAGCTCTTGGAAACTACAGAGACCCAGGGAGAATCGGGAGGCCCCTGTGGTCTGTTTCACGTCATTTGAAAGCCACACCATGGGTCAGGAGTATCTCAGGTGCAATCCATTAGTGTCTGTGGTCCAACTCTACTGGACCGCATGGTTAATTCTATCCCAGCACCTTCCTGAGTCCCCTCCCCCCAAGGATGAGTGCTGCTGTAACGGTGGTAAGTGGTTATGGGACCTGACTCTAAGAAGGCTATAGTTTTGTTAATTTTTTTCCAAATAATGTTCTAGTTGAAGTAACTGCCAATATGCTAATATAATTTATCTGATACAGATAGAGCATTCATAAAATGATTATACAAATGTTTCTGTGGAGTGTCTCTCTGTATGTGTATGTGAGAGAGACAGAGATGTGGCATGTATGTGGTGTGTGTATGTGGTATCTATATATGCAGTATGTTAGTAGTGTGTGTATGTGATGTATATATGTGGTTCATGCTTATGTGGTGTGTATGTGGTGTTGTGTGTGTGTAAGTGTTTATGTGTTTGATGTGTGTGGCATGTACCTGCGTATGTGGTGGATGGGTGAGGGTCAAGTGTCTTCCTCAATCACTCTCCACATTATGTTTTGAGGCAAAATCTCTCACTGAACTAGCCATTAGGCTAGATTGGCTGGGCAATGAGCTCCAGGATCACCCCGATTCTGGCTCCTCTCACCAAGCACTGAGGTTACAGATGCATGTGCGGCTATGTCTGGCTTTATCTGGGTACTGGGGCTACAGATGCATGTGTGGCTATGTCTGGCTTTATCTGGGTACTGGGGTTACAGATGCATGTGCAGCTATGTCTGGCTTTATCTGGGTACTGAGGTTACAGATGCATGTGCG